TTTTGCAGAAGAAATAGTTTTCTTTTGGCTCAAAAAAGCGATAACACTGGATCACAAATTTGTGTTTTTTTATTTGTTCCACAAATAAATTTTTTTCTATGGATACGTTTTCGAGACATTTGCAATTTACCGTTATTCAGTTAAAAAAAATGTGGCTTCACTTAATCACGTATATTTTACGAAACAATTAAACAATCTTAATAGAAATGTGGCTAATTAAATCTAACAAAATTCTCCATAAACCGTATTTACACCACTATTCGATAGGCCTGATAGTTTCTGAGAAATTAATAAATCTATTAAATTTTTTTTTTGTTTTTTTTAGGGGGAAAAATACGAATTTTTGCACTTGTATAAAAGCCTGCTCCTTTACAAAAATGAATAAGGATTTTTTGTATGAAATATGACCAGGAAAGAGTATTATTCATGTGTACATGGCGTATGAGTGACATTCTTTCCTGCTCATTTTTCATACAAAAAATCTTTGCGCATTTTCATTTGACCACTAATTCCACTTTTACTATCAGTCGATTTTCTTCCTTAGTAATTAGCTTTATTTTTTTTATAACAGATCAGGCTTGGTAACTGTAATTTTTTTCCTGTTAAATTTTTAATTTTTTTAATTTTTTCATTAAAAAATTTGCAACATTTCGTATATTGTTCAATTGGTTTCTAAGATATTCGTGATTTAGTGAAAATATCTCGAAAGCCTATCCATAGAGAAAAAAGTAACTCGATTTTCGCAATCAGCGAGCAGTTCTACTTAGAAATTGAATTGTGGCATCCATAGAGCATTCTTTTTGTAAACCACATATGTACTTATAGCATAAGTTTTCTTAAATATGAAATTAAAGCAAAATATTTACCTCACACTTAAATATGTCGAAACTAATTTCTTACTTCAACTTTTCATTTACAGTATATGCAAATGGCTGCTGCCCCACAATTGGGAGTCGCATCCTACAAACCAGACGCAGTCAATCAGGTGCAACCACGTGGTATCTCGATGATGGTCAGTGGTGATCCGTCTGTGCCATATGGACCAATGGTGCCACAACTAGCCACATTGCAAATTGGCAATTCCGTAAGTTTAAAAAACATGTAAAATGTTAAAACGAAATTTGAGTGAGTAGCTTAAAAAACTAACACTTAATAGGAAATGCAATGCACTCATTTTCGACTCATCATTTATACTCATAAATTAGGATGACATTTCATATTGAGGGTAACCTATGGTACAGCAATTGCTTTCATTTGCTGAAAATTTTTACAAGCAAATATTTGTTGTTGTTGTTTTTTTTTTCAATACATACAATGCAGTTTTTGTTGTGTCATAAAGTTTGCCTACTATTCTATGTATATAAATACAAATACTATTACTATTTCGTGGACGAGCAACACACACTTTCGAATAAAGCACCATTTTTTTGCAAGATTTCGTGCACATTTTCCACTTATTAAAAGTTGTTTTTTATCAAACTTCTTTTGTACTCTCATTCATGAATGGTGTAAAGAGTTTTTTAGTTCTAATTTTTTTTTTTTTTTTGAAAATTGCAAAAACAATTTTATTTTCAAATATTTGCTTACTATTTTCACTCACTCCTCTACCCATTTCCATACACATTTTTGTACATTTGTGCAAAAAAAATTTCAAAATCAAACAAAAATATCTACGCATCATCATCGTTTTGGCCATTTAATAAGTGAATATTAACCGTTAAATATGAAATTTGTTTTTCTTTCTTTATTTGATTTTTTTATAGAATTTCTCTCCATCATTACAGTATATTAGTCCAACTTATCCATATTATGCACAACCAACAATTATTCCAACAATGCCAATGACAGATTCCGAACAGGCTAGCACAGCTGCATCACCCGATGAGGCATATACACAGTATCCACATCCAGCCGCTCCCAAATAGGTCATCGCGAGGTGAGTGCGTGTGACTTAGAAACAAAAACCTACAAAAAAAAAAAAAAAACTGAAAATCCCAAAGAGAAAGCAAAAATTCCAAGCTAAACTTACGTGATATTTTTAGTTTCTTTTTTTTTTGTGAAATTCGAAAATATTAGTTAATATTAGTTACTAAATTGCTAATAAAAACAAATTTAATGAATTAAACGGATACCATGCACTTTCATGAACAAAACAAATTTAGATATTTTATTTTTATTTTTATTTTTTTTTGAATTTTTTTTAACTAAGTTGAGTTGTCATTTTTTCATGCCCTTTAATTAGCTTAAAGCGTTTTAATCAAAAAGTTGGCTCCAAAAACAAACTACATACATATATATGTATTTTGTTGTGTTTGGGTACGTTGCATGTAACTTAGCGTCTAGCATACTTTTGACGTCCAAACTTTGCTTCTACAAAATGCAAAATTTCGAAACATCATCGTTGTCACATGAGCATCACTCATTTTAGTAGCTAAGTAGTTCTAATGCCGGGCATTTCATCTTAATTTTTTTTTATTTTTGATGAGCGCAAATTTTTTCGCTTTTAGTTTTAATTTCATCTACATACACAAATACCATCAAACATATTTATATTCAGCCTTTCGAAGCGCCATTCGTTGTGCACTAAATTTTGCTTAATTAATTTCTGACATACTTTGCCGTTTGTTTTTTTTTTTTGTTTACTTTAGTTTTCTTCTTTAATAACGATAGGTTCACCTGCCATGCCACGCATACATTGACATAGACACCTACCTACCTAGATACATACCTACATACATATGTACATACGCCCACTCGCTAACTCACAATCGACTGTCATTTTCTTACCACTTTTTTCACCATACGCCATTTGCTGTTTACCGCCATCTCTTATGTGCATACATACAAACATAAACATACATATGTGAGCTGTGTCATACTGTGCTGTGCTTTATTGCTGCCTGCCTGCCCGCCTGTGCTTGTGCTTGTGCTAGTGCTTGCCTACTTTGCTTGCCTGTTTGTGCTTATCTGCTCAGAATATTGTGCATAGCTTCAACCATACATAGATACATATTTACATTTTCTTGCTTTTTTAACACGCCCTCAATCATCCGACCAGTCTTTCTATTCAAACAAATTTTATTCATCTCTAGCACTGATTCATTTCAAGTATTCCATCATCTGCATCCCCAACTTTAAAAGACTGCATCGCAGCGCTATTTTCAGCNGTTGCTTTTTTTAACACGCCCTCAATCATCCGACCAGTCTTTCTATTCAAACAAATTTTATTCATCTCCTAGCACTGATTCATTTCAAGTATTCCATCATCTGCATCCCCAACTTTAAAAGACTGCATCGCAGCGCTATTTTCAGCTTTTGTTTTTTTTTTTCCTTCTGCTTCTTCTTTTTGTTAAACATTTTTGTTGCATTCCGTTATAGCATTTGACGGCCATTGCTATCATTATGATTGTTATCCTGCGTGTCCTTCACACCTTTTTTGGTACATCATTACCACGCAAGCAAAGACACCGTTAACGATGCCAGAGATGCGTCCTTGTCTGTGCGAGCATGCATTTTACCTACATATGTATGTATGCATAATAATGTACATACAAACATACATACATAACTTGCATTTATATACATACGTAATAGTGTATGTATGTAGCATATTCGTAGTAAATGCGATCCTTAGCTCTCTATATATATTTTTTTTTTTGTTACTAAAATATGCGTAATTCTGCTGATTTCAATCATCATTAACACTATAGTTTAGAGGTGTGCGTAATATATTATGCGCATCAATTTTCTACATCTTATAGCGCATTCTACATGTCTTTGAAAATGTATGTACATACATACATATATACAAACATAGTGTGAACGATGTCTAATTTAAGACTTGTGTTCAAAAACCTATGCGTGAGAACCTCTTAGAGATTTATTGATTAAATTTTTACGAGTTCATAGATTAGCTATTACTCATAATAGTACTCAAATTGTAATTAGTTTATTCAATAGAATCTAACTGCAGTATTAAGTGCTAAAGGGGTAGTATCTTCTATATATGTATGTATATATAATACGCGAAGGCATTTTTTGTGCAGCATAAAATATCTGCCTGTAGATGTGCAAACTGGTTTAATTTTTTCGAGAAGAGTTGCCACCTGTACTACAATTGAATTCTAATTATTTAATAAGCAATGCCATAATAACCGCACCGTTTGTTCGATTTTCCTAAATGAGGTAACGTTTTACTTTTTTGAAGAAAGTTGCCACCTTTTAAAAATTATATTCAAATTATCTAAAAAACAAAACAAATACTACAAAATGGGTATCAATGGAAATGGTTTTGAAAACATTTCTTTCTTAATTTAACTTTAGGGTTGCCACCGGATTAAAAAATCAAATTAAATTTCAATTAAGGAAATTATTTAGGAAAAAAATGTTTCAACATATGGGTGCCAAACGAAAGGCGGCTCAGAAGGTAGCAGTTTGAAAATATTTTGAAATTGGTTGCCATCTGCTTGAAATTTCGAATTTAGTTAACTTATCCAAAAGTTATATGAAATGTCAAAATTGGATGTCAAACGAAAGAGCCTTACGAAGTCTTTGGTTTAAACATTAAGAATATTTTTTAGGCGTTGTAAGAGGGTTGCCACCTGGTTAAAAATTTATTTCAAATTACTTAACAAGTTAAATGTTTAAAAATTTATTTAAAATTATTAAATAATCTAAATGAGTTATTAAAATATTGGCATCAGTATGAACTATATTTAGCGGTGTTGCCACATGTTACAAAAATAAAATTTAACTTAATTCATCAGTTAATTGAAATATTTATCGCAATGGAAGAAGAATATTTAAGAATATCTTAGCGCGAAACTACTTTTGAAGAGGGGTGCCACCTATTTAAAAATTCGAATTTAATTAACTTTTACGCAAGTTGTTTGAAATATGAAGCGAAAGGTGGTTAAAAGAACTCGAGTTTGAACATTTAGAATATTTGAGGAAGGTTGCCACGTATTTATAAAATGGCATTCAAATTATTTTTTGAAGTTGGATGAATTATTAAAAGATGGATATCATCGAAATCATTTTGAAAAGGCATTATTTCTGAAATATATTTAGGAGGGTTGCCACTTATTTTATAAGCTGCATTCAAATTATTTTATGGGCTGAATGTATTTTTAAAGGATGGATATCAATCGAAATGGGTTTGAAAATGCTTGCAGTTAGCTTTTGCAATTCACTTCCCAGTGAATTTAAACCAAATTCGCTTCGAACTCAAATTGAACTTTGTAGAAGTTTACTCCGAAATAAGTTAACCTGAAAAATAAAAACCTTCATCTGTAGATGTGCGATAAGGTTTTATTTTTTGAAATTTGAAACTTCTTATCGGTACAGGATGATTTAAAATTTGATAATATTAAAAACCGACTATGCGAAACGGCTGCACGGATTGAAAAGAAATATGATCCTCGATTCGCTTACACCTTAGTAACATTTGGAATACTTTGTAGACTTTTGAAATTCTATCTTGAGCGTCTTAACGCCGCGTGGGTTCACTAGTTAATTCTTAAATGACAAAAGTAACTTCAAGTTCAGGAAAGAAAATAATCGACTTTACTTGCTTTAATATATTATTTATTCTTAGACTGTGTTCAAACAGCCCAATTAGCTGAGGCAATTAAGCTTTAAATTGAGTTGGGTGTTCACACACATGTCAGCTGCGCAATTAGCGATACGAAATCAGCTGCTGGATCACGGTGCAGCGAACAAAAGTGGAACCGTCATCGGCACCGTTACTTTGGTTTTGCCGATTTTGACAGTTGTGGTAACTAGTAAAGAAACCTTTGTTTACAAATCAGCGGCAAAGAGAAATTTAAATTATAAGTAAAAACCAGTTTAAGTTGTGTTAATTTGCAATTTTGAGTGATTTTTAAGTTGAAGACGGCGTAAAAACCAATAAAATGAAGAGCCGTGTGTTAAATTGCGAAAGCCATCAAGATGCAAGACGTTTTTCGATGTAAAGTGAACTGTTTTGGCAGTTTCAACTCGTTCTTCTTTTCGCTCTATTCTTTGTTTACTTGTGGTACACAAATGTCAACGCGCAGGACGGCGCCATCTTGTACTCTATCATTCTTGCTGCTGGATTACCCACAGTGATGGAAAACTTGGTACAATAGTACCTTTATTTAGTTTGAAAGTACATTCGGTACAAATACACAATTTAGGAACATTTGGAGCGTAGCCAAATAACTTCTCTGAAAATCTGTTCATATTTTTATTGACATTTCAAAGCATTTTCTGGTGCGGGCAACTGGTCTAATAGCTTCCCTCCTTCGTGAAGGGGCATACAAATGATACCGAAGGGTGATAAGGAAGTAACGCAATTGTAGTGGATTTCGCCAGGGTAGACGGAAAATATTTATTTTTAAAACGTCAAATTGAAGAAATGGGAGGAAAGTGATTCTCCTTTTCTACAACATAGTTTTGTCTCGCGCTGCTGGAAAAGATTATTTTCATAGCTAAAATTTGTTTAATGTGAGTACAGAAGTTGATGTGGTATCAATGGGAATTGTTATCCTCTTATTTTTCTTTATATAGAAATACATATTTACTTTTTAGGTCCATCTCTCTGCTTTTAAGTAGAATTTTCCGTAAATTAAGTACAATTTTTATAATTCAATTCTTCATCTCTGATGGAATATCTGCTGTGAAAGAGGACCAGAAACAAACAGCTAATTGCTCTTTGTTCAATAAACATACCACCAAGTCAAAATTAAACATACCTAGCAGGATTGCATAGAGAATCTGACACAAATTAATTGTTAATTGTTAAATTAATTAATAAATTAGTGATGCGGTTCTTAATTGCCAATTAGGTGCCTGTTTGAACATAGTCTTCTTCATATATATTGAGCGCTATTAGCACATATTTTAAGGTTAGGTACGTAATACTTTTTAATATATGTATGTATATGCACATTAGGG